TCTTATAGTGTTTCTTAAAGCCAGAAAGTTGTCACAGAATGACTAGTTTCGTGTCATCCTGTGATCTGTTAATTGTTTTCTACAAAATGAAGCAACTGAATGAAACTCCAGAGAGTCTTCCATAACTTTTGCCTGTTTAGAAACCCAACCAAGCTTTAATTCCAACTGTGAGCTAAAGTTATTTGCTCATTTCTATCAGCCCTTTTGAAACCAAATCTTATCTCTCTCCTTAGAAACACCTCTTCCCTGAGCTGCTGCAGGATCAGTCCCAATAACATGAGATTTGTAGAAGTTTTAAATAAATTAACAATAAATTAGATAATTCTGCAGCATAATAAAGCATTTTTAGACACATGGTTGATGGTTTGCATGTTTAATGGATTAATAGTGCTGCTGTGGATCCCCAACCTTGATACTGCAGAAGTTTCACCAATGCAGATACCCCATTTGTTTAGACTGGACTTCTTTTCTTTTCTTTTTTATAATTTTACACAGTTTTTAGCTAAACTAAAACTTTCTTAACAGGGATATACAGTTATGACTTTGTAACTGAATATACTACATTAAAAGGAGGAAACCTTTTTCCCCTTGCCAGTGCAGATTCTCAATCATCAGCATCATTGCAACTACAACAGGCTTATTAAAAGCATCGGGCCTCTGGTTCAGGTTTTGTAAAAAGTTTTGACACCTGTCTGAGAGTCACTTCTAGAAGATCTCAGCCGAGCAGCCTGGAGCTTTGGAGCTGCTGTTTTTGACCAAATGGAGGCCCATCAGTGCTGGAGCGTTCCAAGTAGGATGCAAATCAACACCCCTCTCATGGGTCATTAGAGTCTATTGTTTGGTGTGAGTTGTTCTCTTTGTCATCTGAATGCTAATGAAGCTGCTTTTGCAAATTCTTTGACATGAGTTTCAATGCAGGGATTCAGATACTGGGAGACTGAAACCTTTTTTAAGAGATTACATCAGACTAAATGTTTCTTGGGGTCATTTTATGGATATCTTCCTCCTAACATCTCACCAGGGGTTTAAAATAAATAAGCACTATCCCAAAATTGCGTTATTGCTCATAATATGCTTGCAGAATAATCAAAAACATTTACCTACAATTACATCGTCACCAAAAAATTCCACAAAAAATGTCTTGACCATTTCAGCTCTAAGAAGCATTTAAATCCAAAAAAGCATTGTTCAAAATGTCAAGATAAAGATTATTAATCGCCTGTTTGCTGTGGAGCTCTTGTCTTGTGAATTCCAAAACGAACCATGACTGAAATACAGATGGATCGATGTTTTCTTTACACATCAATGTGACTGGATTGCTAATTATTTTATAAGTGTCATTTTAAGCCTCGACGTTTGACCATAGTTTGCTGGGATTTTGGCCCATTCCTCCCGCCGGACTGAGACCCTGGCTTTGTGATGGCCACTCTAGAACCTTAGGCCCCGTCCACACGAAGTCAAAACGAACACGAAACGCTGATATTTTCCAAAACGTTTGCCGTAAAGACGGAGACGTAAAATAAATGTGAGCGTCCACACGAATGCATGAAAACGCTGCAAAATGTATGCCAGGCCAGTAAGTGGCGCTGTGGTGCCAAAGCAAAAATAAGCGACGAAATGTTGGGCATGTGCACTAATATTTATACATGGTTGCCCTGCGGGTCCATTTTCGTGGTTAAGTCAAATTCAGGTGCTGAACTATGTCATCGATATTGCTCTGTTCTTCCTGGAGATATTCCAGAAGAAGAAGATTCTGTTGTAAGCCTGACAGCAGGGTGAGTAGCATTAGCAGCAACGGCGCCATTGTTGTTGTGATACTGGTCGCGCATGCATGCTTAGAGGCGACGCTATGACGCATGCATGTAAAAAAAAAAATGCGGTTAGAGCGTAAAGATGGAAACGCGAAAACGGCGTTTCGAAATCTTCCCACTCTGAAGGCTGAATAAAAAAAAGATCGTTTACAGACCCCCGAAACGCCGGCTTCGTGTGGATGAGAGGCTGGTTTGGTGAAAAATTTGTGCGTTTAGGCCAGGGTTCGTCTTCGTGTGGACGGGGCCTTAGCCTTGGTGCCCTAATTATGGTAATATGTTTAATTATTTCCTTTCTCTTTAAAAGGCCAATTTGTGAGTAAAGTTGCTGATGTCTCGAGGCAACAGTATTTCCCTATCGTGTAACTAAGACCTTGCATGAAGTTGCTTTTATTATTGCTTCTTCTTCTTCAATGAGTGTTTTTTAGCCTATTTTTTCAGCTTTTATTGTCATTACACTGTAACAAGTACAGCGCAATGAAATTAACTTTCTGCATTTAACCCATCCCCTTAGGGAGCAGTGGGCTGCCATTATGCGGCGCCTGGGTAGCAGTGTGGGGGTTAAGGTTCTTGATCAGGGAGCCAGAGCTGCTGTCTCTGGGAGTGGGGCTTGAACTCAGAACCTCGGGATTCCAAGCACAATGCCCTAACCACTAGGCCCCCACTCCCCATGGCTGGAATTGGCATGAAGGGTCTTGCCTAAGGACCCACACTGGCAGATCATTCCCCCCAGCTGGGATATGAACCCAGGCTTCCTGTTTGGTAACCACTTGGTATGTCAATTTTCACCTTCAACCAGCATTCACCTTCACCAGGTACTTTGCAGCCATTCTAAAATTGGTTTCGTGCCAAAACACAGAACCTGTCTCCTTCTTGACTGTTTTGATGGTTATCACCATACTTATGAACCTCATTCTTATATTGTTTGAATAGATAAATGTGGTCTTCAGGTATCTGGACATTGTACCCGACTGGTGGATCCTCCCATGATGTTACACAAGGTAGCAGCATGTTGGAGATGTTGCAAAAAATACATAAATTAATCCCTAATTACTAATTAATTGTGTTGATCAATCTGATTGAAATAAAGCAGGAAACTAAAGAAAATCTATTATAAATAGTTAATCAAACTCTTTGGCTTCTGGTGCATTATGGACTCTAAATCATTAAAACCCATGCTTGCTCAAAGGCCTCCATGATTACTCTTCCAAAATGTGAGAAAACACGCTGACAGAGCCCTTTTATTTCTAAGTTTTGGTTCGGTTAAACAAACCTCTGCTTGAAGATAACAGCAAAGATTACTTTTAAAAGGAGATGTTTTGTTAAAGCTTTTTCAGCACAAAAATCCATTGACCGGCTCAGAGTTTATTCACCAGCAGAGTAAGTTTTATGGAAGAGGTGGTGTGACGAAACATAAATATCATTACAACAGAGAGCTGGTTTGCAGGATGAGTTCTAACCACCTCAGTTCTGAGCAGGTATTTGGACCGGTTACAATCATAAGCTTTAGTGTATTTCAAGATGATTAAATGTGGTTAAAAAAGCATGAAATTGTGCATAACTAAGATGATGATATGGTTCTATTTTTATTATTTATGCTGCCACAAGTGTAAAGCTTATAGAGAATGAACTGTTTGATCAAACAAGAGGGCTTCTATAAAGAAGGTGTTTTTAGGCCTTGGCAAAAATCTGATATATGCTTTACACCATGCAGAAGAGTACAAATAGGTGAAAAATAGGCCTTTTTTCAATATTTAATTATTGTGATATTACATTTTGTTTGTCTTTCCATTCTCTCTTTTTCCAAATTCAAACAAATAAGGAAAACAGACAAACTTATCAAACATTTCAATGAACAAAAATGAAATAAGAAGACAAGAAATCGTATCGTTCTCGTCCCTTTTTCATAATTCAGTAGATTTTTTTTCTCACACTAATCCTGATCTGGAAAAAAGTAAAACCGAATTCCAAACTTTGGGAATTACTTTTTAGGGGGTAAATATGAAGATTTTCCTTTTAAATTTCTCCATTGTAAGACAGTAAATGGATTTTTCTATTCTATTCTAAAATCTGAAATGACCTTAATTTTCTCTTCCCAGTTTTGTGTCGACATATCCCATAAAATCCAACAATAGATGTAATAAGACAAAAAACAGAGAAAGTTCAAAAGGTGTGAAAACTTTAGCGAGGTCATGTGGAATCCTTCCAGAACCTTTCAGAAACCAAATGTGATGGAAAAGCTGCCTTCCTCTTCTGTCCCTTTGTGGACTTAGTGGAGGTGATCCAGAGGGAATTGTTTACTTTCTTTACTATCAGGAAGTCTGTAGTTAAAAGCCTTCAGCTGATCCAAAATACTGCAATCAGAGTTCTGATTAAACTTTTACGGAGAGATAATTTCTCCTATCCTAGCTTCTCTTCATTCGCTTCCTGTTAAATCCAGAATGAATACTTGTGGTTGCCAGAATGGTTTGGGAGGTAGATCTTTTAGTTATCAGGGTCCTCTCCTGTGGAATCATCTACTAGTCTATAAGACAGACACTAGGTCATGTGATCTACCTCATTAGGAAGAGCTATACAGACATGTTGCTGCCCATCCATCCATCCATCCATCCATCCATCCATCCATCCATCCATCCATCCATCCATCCATCCATCCATCCATCCATCCATCCATCCATCCATCCGGGTTAGACCTGTACACAACAAACCAGAGCAACTCTCCCTCTCGCACCATCTGGACCAACCAATGGTCTCTCTCTCTTCCCTATAGGTCAGACTGGGGGGAATCACAAGGAGGAATGGATCACCTCACCTGGCTTTTTCCTTCTCCTTCCTCTGACTCTTCTGTCTTCATCGTTTCCTTCTATTTCATCATTACAGTGTGTTTAAAAAAATAATTCTCCATCATTGTCTATTTCACCTGATCTTCATTGTTGGATGCTATCTTTTTTAAATTCATCTAAAAAAGTAGTATTCCTTTATTCAATAGTGTTAATTTATTGAGCAAATGTCTTGCTCAACATTTGCATGCCAGTTGGCAATCACCAGCAACATCTTCCTCTTTTTTTAAGCTTTCACATATTTTTATTTCCAGCATTTATTATTCGGGGATCAGAACTCTCCTATTTTGTTTTTAATATCGCCAAAACTAACTTGTACCTGTCTCCCTGATAAACTGATTTATACTCTCACCTCTGTGATGGTGCAGTATGCCGCCTGTGGGGACCAGACGCGCCTCTTGTAGAAGTAGTTTAGGGCGATGAAGAGCGCGGAGCCCAGCGCAGCCACGGCGGCGGTCAGGGCGATGGAGATGTGCCGAAGAAGAACCATGTGGCCGAGAAGCAGAGACTGGAGTCTGCTCCTGGAGCGCTTCTCAAGCCTTCAGGTTCCTGCAGTGCCGCTGCTGCACGCGCCGCATGTGACCGCGCTCTCTGCTTGTTTTTGTTTCGAGGAGCGCTTTAAGGAATATGGAAAGATGGTGCGTTCACGTGCTGCTCGGACACAGAAGCTTTAAGAGTCGGAGCGAATAAACGCATAATAAACTAAATTTGGCTGGTCGAACCTTCTTATAATCCTTATAAAAATGTTTTCAACCCTTACTCAAGCTTTACACTTTTTTTTCACTTTGCCAATTTTTTTTCTGTTTAGATCTGTCTTACTTTTTCTGACTAATTTAAAATACCTTTTGAATAGGACAACCTTTAAGCAGGCACTAAACATGCTTTATTATTATGACTACGTTTATGTAGTTTCTTTATTTGTCAGATGTGATTTTTCCAAATCCAAAATGTTGTGTTTTTTATTAGCTCTACGTATAAAAATCATAAGGTAAACACCTGTCTTAATTTACATATTGTTGGTCACTGTTAATTGAGTTATGAGAATAAATGAACTGTTCAACAGTGTTCGAATTCATTAAATAAGGCTAGACATTAACTTAAATGAATGGACATTAAAGCATACAAAAAACAATGTAATAAATGTTATTCGTTTTATTAAACACATTTTCCCCTACCATTAGTCAAAAAAGGACCAGATTGAGACTTATTTCTGCTCCCTCTGTTCAAATTCAATTCTATTCAGTTTATTTATATAGCACCAATTCACAACACATGTCATATCAAGGCACTTTACAGTTCACCAGATCATACAGTCAAATTGATTCAGAGCAATCCCTCACACTAAGCATGCTTGTAGCGACAGTGGAGAGGAAAAACTCCCTTTTAACAGGAAGAAACCTCCAGCAGAACCAGGCTCAGTGTGAGCGGCCATCTGCTGAGGCCGACTGGGTTCAAAGAGACAGAAGCAGAGATACAAAAAGCAAATGTAAAAGGCCGCCCCATCCTGGAAACACACAGCCAGGCAGATGAGCTCTGAGGCAGCTCCCATGTCAGAGAATGAAGAGCACATCCAGCCAGTCGCAGTCAGAGAAACAGGACTACACTGGAAAACAGGCCGATTACCAACATCTATAAACAAAGGTGTTGATGGCAGCAGAACAGCTGATATTTCTCTCCAGGATGGTGTCACAGCCAAACAGGAACAGACTAGGCAAAGCTACTATGAGAAAAAGCAGAGAAAGCATAACATTAGAGATTGAACTAACAGTTTCTGCAGAGTGGAGGAATAGAGATAGAATGAAGCAGAATGATGAAAAAGGGTTCCCTATGTCCTCCAGAAGTCTAAGCCTATAGCAGCATAACTATAGAGATAACTCATGATAACCTGAGCCGTTCTAACTATAAGCTTTATCAAAAAAGAAAAATACTTCATGTCTCAACAAAGCTAACTACATTTGTATTAGGTTATATTCATACGCTTAATAAACTTTGTCCCATGCCTTCATTGGTTTTTAATCTGACCCTCTACCCCAGCTGTAGAAAATCAGCATAATTCTGCCAACTACATGTTTTACTGTGCAAGTGTTGTGTTAGAGGGAATGTTAAGCTTTAGCTTTGATAAATGAGTCCCACATAGCCCGAACTGTAATGCATTTATACTCAACCATGCTGTCAAAGCTGCAAGTCACTCACCACTTAGAGCAAAAAAAAAAAGAGAGAGAGAAAAATGAAGAAAAAAAAAACAAGAAAAAAAAGCATCACGAGTATGAAAGTTTTGCAAGTTCTGCTTTGCAAATAGCTCATGCTCCATTTGGTCTAACTGTGAGTGTAAACATTATCTTGCTATGGAGCCGGGGGTGCATTTAGGTCTGAACTAGGCCATTGAAACACATGTTTTTAAACAATCTAATTTATAATTACGTTATAAGCTCATTATTTTGACCCCTTCCCCATAACTAAAGCTTTTGCTGCCTCTGCAGCTTCTGTATCCTTGAATAAGAAAGGCATCCACAGAGCATGATGCTGCCAACACCATGTTTTATATTGTGGATGCGTTGTTCAGGCTTTTTGTTTTTGTTTTGTTTGTTTGGTTTTTAAGGACCAGACAGTTTAATTTGGGTTCTAAATTCAACTTTAAATGAACTTATTCTGATTTTCATCTGGATTGTTTTTCTTCCTGCTAGTCCTTGAATAGTAAAAACATTTGTGTTGTGTAACTATTGGTTGTCCTGCCAACAGATTCTCCCACCCACCTGTTCAGCTCTTCCTCACCATAGACAGACCTTCTTCTCTCATCAGATGCTACACATATATAGGCCTACAGGTATCACAGAAAATTACAGTATCATGAAACAATTCTTTTTTTTTTTAACTGATTTTAGAAGTTGAAACTAATTTCTACCTGGATTGATTAAAAAACTGAAACTTCCAAGCCCAAGTGCAACTTTCCTACGGGACTTGAACGCATCAAAAGCACCGAGTTATCAATAAAAGATGTGCAAGTTTACCAATGTGTTTTTAAGTGGTATGTTGTATTACCTGTACAGGAGGAACCCTTGCCTTGAGCGCCATCTAGAGGCACTTAGGTGTTTCTCAGAAAACAGGATTATAGTACCTGTAATATTCAGTTTTTAAATGGTTTCTTACGATTTGAAATTGTGGGTGACCTAGAAATGAACAAAACATTATACTTCTAAAAATTATTTACTTTTAATTAACCTGAAGGATCAAATGCTTTTTAGTTCATGCGGTATCCTTAATATTTATTTAATATTTAATACTAAGAACAGGCAAACAGGGAGTGATAATTGCATGAAACTCACAGAAAACGTCTTCTTTATTTTCTTCCCGGGTGGATAATAATAGCCGATGCTATAATGATTCACCAGGGGGCGCTGTTGATTAGAAGATTTCTGCAAACACATGACAACCAACAGGCTAGACTGAAAGGTTTTCTTAAAACTGGGGGGAAAAAAATAAAATAAAAACTTGTCCCCAAAAGAAAAAAACTACGATTAGAGAAAGTAAAAATAAACTATAAGAGATGGAAATTATCCCAAAGTTATGCTGTTAAGGAACACGATTGACTCCAACCATTAAACCATTAAGCATGTGTTTCTTTTTGTTGCATCTCGTCATAATTGTTTTTTTTTTTCTATTACAGAATTTTTAGGTAGCTTATATGATTTATTCACTTTTATAGAGTATTGTGTTGCAGGTTCTTGTAATTCTTATCTTTTTATTTTAAAGCAATGCTAAAGCATCCACATGGGTTAAAGAGGGTCAGAAATAAATGTTTTTTGAATAAAACCAGGAGTTTTGGTCAGTTTGCTGCCTTAAAATGTAATGATTCAAGAAGAATGTTTTATAACTATTTATTTAGTAGCTCTTCTGAAATCCAATACTAAGTAATATAAGAAAGGTAAAGATAAAAGTATATAAAATATATTTGTAAAGTACATTTTAAAACAAAGGTTTTCATTTATTAGGAAATAAATAATTCCTCAGTGAAATACTTTTTTGTTGAACTATAGCATTTTAAACCGATTTTTTTTTTTAGAACTTAAAAACTTTTTGCATTGAAAATACTGAGAAATAAATGTTTGATTTTTGTCTAATAAGGCACATTTACTTTTAAGTAAAATACAATAATACTTTGGAAAGTATATAAAAAAGCTATTCAGTTTTTTGTAAAATAATTATAAAAATATGCAAGAAAATTAAAATATGCAAGGTTTTCTTATTGAACAATATACGTATACTGTCATCAGTTTAAAAAATGTAGTTTAAATGCATTGATGAAATAAATATTTATTTATATTTTTAGCTCTGAAATTATACATTTTCGAGTGCAACATAATTAGATCAGCATGAATCTCCTAAAAATGCCAACACCTAACGTTGCCATTTTTAAACAGATGCTTTATTTCTATTGGTTTAGTTGATCAACAGGTGTTTTATTTAGTAACTGGGAGTTTTTGCATTAGAAAAAAAGAGAAATAAAGGTTTAATTTTTGTATAAAAAAGCATTTGAATTTAAAATATAAAACAGCAATACCTTTGATAATAGATTAAGCAGCAATGGAGCTGCTGCTTATTTTGTGTTTAGATTAAGTAGATTAATATATTTAGTAAAATGAACAGTTAAAAAATAAAGGAAAACTGAAATATGCATAGATTTATGATTGAAAAGTAAACTTATTCTTTAATTAAACTCATCACTTTTATTTAATAAATCTTGGGATTTTTAAACGGAAGCTTTATTCTGAAGGGCTCAGAATCAACAGGTGCTTTATTTTGTAACCGGAAGTGGTGCGTAGTAAATGCAGCTAGCTGGATAGCTGTGGAATGAAGCGTTCGGGACTGAGAAAGACTTCACCGCGTAAATCCAGCACGGAAGTTCCGGTTGGGGAGGAACGTTGGTCGTTTGGTGCATGGCGCGTGTTTTGAAGCTGCTCTGCTTGTGGAGAAATGTCCTGGGCCGTGAGTAGTGAGGAAACAGGAAGCGATTCTTGTGGGATGGAAGAGGGAAATAGTGACAATGAAGGTTGGAAGATAGCAGCATCAAAAAATGAGAAAAAGCGGAAAAAACAGAGATCAGTTCAAGGGGAATCTAGTTCAGAACAATCCAGTGATGATCATTCCATACATTCCACAGCACAACAAAATGAATTCAAAGTCATATTCAAAGTCGTTAATCAGGCAGACTCTTTTACAAACTGGAATCCGGTTCACTTAACAAAAACCATCAATAAACTTGTTGGAGAAGTCAGAGGTGCCAGAATTCTGTACAGTGGAGACCTGCTAATTAACTGCAGAGACAGCGCCCAGCAAGGCAAAGCAATACGTATTAACAAAATTGACGGGATAAGAGTTCAGTGCAGCCTAATGGAGAACAAAAAGATCAGCAGGGGAGTCATTGGAGGAGTTCCTCTGAAAATTTCTGAAAAAGAGATTCTGGAAAACATAAGCGGTGCAAAAGTAAAAGAAGTAAAACGGTTAAAAACAACAAGAAACGGAGAAAGATCTGACAGTTTATCTGTACTAATTAAATTCGAGGAAGAGCAATTACCAAGCAAAGTATTCATCGGTTACATCAGTTACAATGTCAAAATCTACAATCCACCACCATTGAGATGTTTCAAATGTCAAAAATTCGGACACATTGCAGCAGTTTGTAAAGGGAAACAGAGGTGTGGAAGGTGTGCAGGAGAACATGAATATGGTAAATGTGGAAAAGAAGCTAAAATAAAATGCTGTAATTGTGGTGGAGAACATACTGCTGCTTATCGCGGCTGTGAAGCAAGCAAAAGGTCTGAAGAAATAAAAAAAATGAAATTTGAGCTTGGAATAACTTATGCTGAAGCTGCAAAAAGGATCCCATCTCAGTCAGAAAAACCCAAACCTACAGTTCAACACACGGCAAATTTCAAACCTCTAGAGAAATCTCCAAAAATTGATGAAGACTCACTAATTGTTAAAAAGACAAATTTTGTTCTTTTCATGGTGGAAGTGATTAATTGTACTGCTCAGACGACAAAAAAAACAGAAAAAATCAAAATAATAGTGAAGGCTGCAGAAAAATATCTGGATGTTAAAGATATGAACTGGGAGATGGTTGGAAGCATGATGGAAAGACCAATGGGACCATCAGAAACTGGCAGAGGTACGATGACCTAGAGTAAATTAAAATTATACGGGCAAATGTAATTTAGTATAATTTAGTATTATGTGGTTTTAAGTTACACAGGTTATTTTATTGTATTTTTTTTTTTTTTTTTTTTTTTGGGGGGGGTGAATCGTTTCCTGTTTCCTTGCTTTACTCCATATCAGTTGGTGGCGGTAATGCACATTTCACAAGTTTGCCAACCGCCATAAAATCTCATAAGAAGAAGAAGAAGAAGAAGACTTCACCGCCGCAGCCTCCATCTGCTTCCCTCCCTTCGAACGGAGACTTGAATCGGACGAGCGGGAAGTTTGGGTCGGATTTAGAGGATTTACGGCGCCGCGGAGACTCTTGGCACTTGTTTGCGACGCGCTCGGGGCGGCTCAGAGTGTCTGTCCCCCAGCCCCCCCTCCCAGTGTCGGTTACTGCTGATCAACATGGTGGCCTGCTGCTGAGCAGCTCCATCAGCAGCTCGGTCCGTATTCGGCGCGAGGCACCGCTGACGGCTCGTCGTCCCGGGGCGGGTTTTTTATATCTGATTGTTTGTTGGTTTCAGCGGGACAAACGGCGGTTTTTGTGGCCGTTCAGAGAGCGGGTTCTGTGAACTGTGGATAATTGGAGTTAAACTGAACAAAGTTCCCAAGAGACCGCGTGAAAGTTTCCCCAACAAGTTTGGAAACACTGGAAAATCCTTCTTTTTCTTTTCCTCCTTTAACACGGATGCTGATAATTTGGCCAACAAGTGCAGCCGCCTCCTTGGATCAGACCCATCCCCTCAAATCCTCATTTCTGAGGTTCTCTTCCTGAACAATCTTTGGATTATTATTCTGGATTATGGCCTAATCCAACCCGCAGCAGGCTTGCTGATTCGTGGAGAAAATACTGGATTTTTGTGTTGATAATGTCAGAGAAACGAGATGGTCTCCCTTCGTTATGATTCTGCCTAGAGAGGAGTTTATTACATGGAGACTCGCCTGACATGCCGAGGAAGGAGTTGCCACTACCACACGGTTGGGAGGAAGCCAGAGACTTTGATGGGAAAGTTTACTACATCGACCATATTAACCAGTGCACCAGCTGGATCGACCCTAGAGACAGGTAGGACAGGTGTCTCTGACCTTTGACCTCTTAAAGGGTGGCCCTCCAATGAGGGGAATTATCTAATTCTGTCAAAAAAGAAGATAAAGTTTCTGATTTTCTCCCATAAAGTGTCCAAACTGTTCTGATCATCATTTATTCAGAATTTCTAAAGCTATTTTAGGGTATTTGACATTTTCTCGCTCCATCTCATAAATGTTGACATGTTGCAGCCACAAATTTCAGTTATATTATTATATGCAAAGCAGTTTTTTTTTACTTATAAAGGTAAAGGAATGTGGTTTCAAAAGAAATCTAACTCTGATGTAGTTAAAACCCGCTCCCCTGTGAAGTCCCCAGAAGGAACACAGCAGATGGGCGAGGGGAATAAAGTTATAAAGAAGTATAAATCAGAATTAAGTTCTGGAATAAATGCTTTGAACATCTGATTGAGCAATGATCAGTCCATCTTCTGAAAATAGACTACGGCACAAATTAGAAAGCTACCAAAACATAGGTGTCCACCTAAACCAACAGATCTAGAAAGGAGAGTTTGTTGAGTAGCCAACTCTGGAGGAGCTGGGAAAAGTAGTGGCTGCATCATGCTGTGTGGACGCTCAAAACCAGCTCTGAAAGGAGGCCTGTTGGAAGAGTAAAGACCAAGCTGTAGGGCAACGACTCTAAGCATACTTTTAGAGATAAACATTAGTTGACTTAATTTATAGCATATTTCAGCTTAAAACGGCCTAGTCAAAGTTCCAGACCTAGTTGAAACTAAGAATCTACAGTAAGGTTTGGAAGTGAAATGTTTACTGAAGAAGCATTGTTCAGTTTTCAGGTCCTAAATGTAAAGGGGTCTAGAGGCTGTTTTCTCCCTCTTCTTGATTTTATTTTTTGTTTTAACTGATGACATTGTAACACGATGTAAAGTAAGTTTGAGTGTTCTGAATAGTTTTTATTAACACCTAATTATTATTCTACTCTCAAGTTAATTCAAAGTATTAATTATAGTATATATTTAAAGTATAGAGAAACCAGGTCATTTGGTGGCTTGACAACCAAGGTTGGAGCAAAATAAGTTAAAAGGATCACAGATTGACTGCAAAAAAGATATATAGGCCTAATTAGAGGTTTAGAATCAGGGAAAAGTCAACCTGACCTGAGTATGACTGAACCAGCCCAGGAAAAAAAAAACTTCAAAATGTTTCAAAACTACCACATGTGAGTAGACAGGGAAGTTAAATGGACAAGTAGCTTTTAGAGACTCTTATTCTCTTATTTAATCAAAATTAAAAGGACAGTTGTTTTAAGTATTTTTTCCCCTATATTTTCCTTCCCTTTTCCCACTTCTGTGATTTGCTCCTGAAAAGTTTGAAGCTCAAAGATGTATTTTTCTCCCACTGGAACTAAAAATGTTTGAAGTGTTTAAAGTCGTAGGGAAGTCTTATTTAAATTTCAAATAATTCTGGCTTAAACATGTAGATAAATGTATTCTCTTTATTAGACCATATTGTCCCAAAACGTAGAAAATTTTTATAAAAAAAAAAAAAAATTTTTTTTTTTCTTTTCGCTATCTTATGCAGGCCAGTCAGTTATACGTCAGCCTGTACACCTAAATTCGGCCAATCATATATTGGTGGTCGTCTGTCAATCACATTTTTTCTGTCATAGTATCTTGATTCATACTTCGCAACTAATACATGCAAGGATTGAAATAAAAAAATAAAAATAATTTACTTTATCATTGAGTTCCGTCCCAGTGTTCACGGGGATGGACATCTGTGTCTTCGGCAGGCGTGGAGCTAACAGAACTGGCAGCGTTGCGAGGCAAGGGCTCAAACATGTACGGCTGTAAGCCTTCTACACCAAACCAAGCTTCTGCCGCCCTGGCGTCTTTTTCCACAACAACTTTGTCCCCACTTTTCTCCTCTAAATAAAAAAAATGTATGACGGAGGAGACTCATCCACGACCTCCGACACAAAACTCTCCTCCTCTTGCATGTTTCTGCTGTCCATAGCATTCCTTGACAGTGTCGTTGCTAAGTGCTACTTGGTCACAAACTCGCAATGTAAATTCCCATTGGGAACCTTCTATCACTAAGTTGCTAACTGGTTAGCAAGATGCTTCCGACAAACCGACCACAACCAAACTTGCGTGTAAACCTTGAGTCACAACAATCCCGCCGTCTTGATAAACAACCATTCAGATTCAATTTATTCACTGAATAAAGTTGGGCACCACTCGGAAGAATTCGGAAATGCAACCGTTGGAACAGCCGCTTCCCTACAACTTTAAACACAATCCAGCTACAGGTATATTAATTCCCACAAGGACTAATTATTTTTTTTTTTCTTTGCAACTGATTTGTTTCAAGTTTGGGCTTTGAAAGTGATGTTTAGCATTTTTCCATACAGAGATTTTCGTTATTTTCCTTCATCAGTGTTTTGATTAGTTTCCCTCGAGGTTTGACTCAGTTGATGTTGGTTTCTACTGATTCACATTTCTGTGCTCCGTCCATCATTGAAGAAACAGATATTTTAACAGAACTCTGATGCAAACAAAATGTAACTGAGACAAAAAATCCAGAGAAATGGATTAGAGTAGTTTACTGTAAAATCAGTGGCTGTTTGGACTAGTTCTTAAAGCCCAACAAACAAATCGAAACGGTCACTGCCAGAGAGCTGCTTGTTATTGTGAAGGTTATTGATGTATAGATAAACCAGTATGTTGGTCACCTCAGAATGAAGAAAATAAATAATTAAATCTTGATAAAAGGCAAAGTTAAAACTAAGTCAAATAGTATGTGTTTTTGACATTTTTCAGTCGCAACTTTCTACCTTTGTTAGTTTCTTTAAATGGGAAAGACAGGAGAACGGATCTCTTTAAGTAGCGCAGATGTTTGTTGATTCTTCTGAGTTGGACACTGGCTAGGGGAAAAAACTGCCCACTAAACAGGAGGGCAAGGTAAGTAAAAAAAAAAAAACTCTTTAAGCTGACAGAGAGCTGTGGTAAGGATGCTCAATTTGGGATCTCTATGACAACTAGGGATGGGATGATTTATGAAAACCGTCCAAACCGTTCGGTTCGACTGTCTCGGTTAGATTTGCGTGTGTTTCGTTCGGTTCATGCGCTGCTCTTTTTTCTCATAGGCGAAGTGTTTACACTCCAGAGCAGAAGGTGGCGGTACTGCGACCAAAGCCAACCACCAGTAGTAAACAAGAAAAAGAAGAAGCCAAGCAGCTTAGCCGGGTGTAGCAGGGAAAAAAATCAGTTGTTGTAGAGAATTGTGCCAGAATTGCAAGTGGGAAAGAACAGGAGTTGGAAGACGCGCCAGCAGCACTTTATAGGTCTGCTGTATGGGAGCGCTTTGCATTTAGAGTGACCTCCGATGACGGCGGAAAGAAAGTTGTGGATAAAAGTGCAACAGTGTGCAAGCATTGTGCAACACGTTTTGTTTATGCTAACAGCAACATGTCATGCTAACCCCGAAATCCCTCATACTCCGTCAGCAACCCCAGCTCCGCCCCGCTGCGCTCCAGACCGGCTGCTCAATGCAAAGGATACAGCCCCCACTGTGGCTCCCGTCTGCTCCCCTCTGAGTCCCTTGAAGATGGTAGAGAGCATGCGCGAGATGATTAAATTCAAAGCAGCAAAACATACGGAAATGATCCAGGGTTTCCGCGGATCATTTAAAATAATTACAATCCATTATTTTTTGGGGGATTTTTTCATTAATTTCATAAATTTTTATGGGATTTCGGTGTAACAATCAACATATACCGAATCGAACCGAATCGAAAACCGTGACCATGAAACCGTGAATCGAACCGAACCGTGGATTTTGTGAACCGTTCCACCCCTAATGACAACGATCTGACACAATCTATATGCTCGGGAGGCCACATCATTCATATACTACAGTCACATGTGAAGTTTTCTAGACTCTACTGCAAGTTTAAATAGAAATATGTGCTTTGGTCACAGAGGAATGGATAAAATAGCTCCACAGACTTAACCAATTAACAATTATATCAGCTCCTTACAATGTGTGTTATAATGTGTGTATGTATGGTGGATGATCTGTGATACTGTGGGCCTGACTCCTCCAGAGATCCGTAGAATCTTGTTTAGCTGCAAGGCTTAACAAACTCTTCGAAAAACTGTAACATTTTTAATAAAAAACACCTGAGAGAAAACTAAAAGCAGATCCTCAGTGGGTCTTTTCCGCAGGATAAAGATATACAAACACTGACACAGTCATCCTGCATTTTACATCCTATACTTAAATCCAGTGGAGTTACTGGGTGACATCCAGGGTCTGTGTTAAACCATCATGGGAATGAAAACAATAGAAACTCACTAGAAAAGAGAGAGCAGATTTAAACCTTTTTCTTCCCTCTGAGTTGACCAGTTACTTTAGACCCCCTCGGACTTTGGCACCAAATCCCTTTAATGTTTTACGTCTGGAATTTGGAAGAACTGTAGGCTGATTATTTTTTTTTTTCCTTAGCTGTGTAATGATTAATTTAAAGCCGAGACTTTATTCTTTTTTCCCTGCAGACGTTTCGCATTGTCCGCTTTTATGTTTGCTGAAGTTGTAGAAGTGTCATCAGCAATTACCCGGAATCACGATTTCATCTCTTTGTCATAAAAAAAAAGAAGAACAGTTGTATCTTGTTTCATGACTTGCCGGCATTTCACTCTATTTCCGCCTGTTGTTTGTCTTTAAGTGGGAATCTCTGACAAGGTTGTAAGGGATACTTTTCTAGACGGACTCCTTCCATCTTGTGTGTAAACTTGGACGTCCATCACAGGGAAATTCCGACCAACCTTCACACAGTTCAAACCTGTTGACAATATGCGGAGCCATGCTGAGCTCGCTGTCATGCTTCTGGCCCGTGGGAGGGAGCAGGAGTAGATGGGAGAACCCAGAAGGGCATGCAAAATTAAAACGGACAAACCCAGGAAGGGATTCAAACCCACAGCTTTCTAGTTTTAAGCTAACACTAACACCAGTTTG